CGTCTTTCCCGAAGCTCCTACTCGAGTAGCGCAAACGCGCTGGAAATATATTGCTGCATATCGCTCGTAACGCTTAGTCCTGTTTATGGTGTACACTTTTGCACAATTTTATTGCTCACTGGGTAAAGGGACGGTCATACCAGCAGTTTTAACTTTAGAAATCTCTTGTTAAATATTATTTTAAAAATAAAATAGCATATTCATGACCACTTTTAATTTTTAACAACAGTCGTCACTGATGAATTGCCAATTGCAATTTAAATTGTTAATTCACTGTGGGATCGCCAATGATGGAAATATCCTTCAACTGCCACATTTAAGTTGTCCTTATTTAGTTACAATTATGAGTATAGAGCCATGTTTTGGAACGTTTAAAATCTGCTTCTCGCTGCCTAAATCCAATGCAACAAAATCTTGTAGAACCTCTTTTCATATTTGTAGCCCTTCGGTATACAATCCTACCGCCAGTGGTGATCAACTTAATATCGTGTTTTCTTTTGTAAATCCATTGATGGGAATTGCAAGATGTTAAATTTTTGAGTCAACTTGCATGTGTTACCAGTACCAATCTCGCATTAGTTTAGAATAGAATAGAACATATTTTTTTAAATTTAATATAGATTATAAACGAACCTTGTTGAAAGTTATTTCTTACTTTTACTGCTTCGAGAAAACCTCCGTTCTGGGAAGAGCGAGCAAGAAACTCAGATAGATTTTTTTTTTCAAACTAATATTGTACAATCAAAATTAGATTCTTCAATTTCTTACAAAACTGAGTGAAGTAACAACTTGGAAGCAAACATAGAGGCAATATCTATGGAATAAAATACTATGTTTTGTATTAATCTATTTTTGATTTTCAGAGCTTAGATTTATTTTAGCAGCGTATTATTTGAATGTAGCCGGTTACAGGATTATATTTAAATTCCTTTTTTTGCGTGAGCAACATCACAACCTCTATGCAAATCGAATCGTGAACAAAAACAAACATGTTCCGACAATAAAAACATGCAGTTCAGTAGCGCTTGAATCGCAATTACATCCATTCATTGCTTCTTATTACATTGCCAACGATAATTACACTTAACAGGATAAGCATTTTACGATCACATCCCCGTTAATACTAATGTAAAAAATGATATCATGCAAAGCTTTCGTACTATAAAAAGCTTATCGCAGTAGGATCTGCACCGTAAACAAGTCGGTGGCAAAACGTATTTTATTTTACAATGTTTACTACTCAACACCAGAGTTATTGCTACACTTACATCCATATATTTTCGTTATTTTAGCGTACAACAAAATTTTCGAAATTCACTAAAACTAACGCATCTCATTAAAGTAATAATGTGAACCCATTGTCTAATGCATTTTATTAGTTCATTCTAAGTTTTATCTTCGCGAAAGACAATCTAATTTGTATTGTCGAAAGATTCCCACTTTTATGTTTTTTTTTCGTGTCAAGTGCAACCGCATAATTAGTTTAGTGAAATAGTCTCGAATGGAAAATTAAAATTGAATTCTTCGTTCCATTGTTTTAGGGTTCTAATCTCCTTGCTCGCTTATTCCAATACAAATAAAATTTCATAATATTCCATTACAATGGCCGTTCTAATTTTTGGAATTAACAAAATTACATTATGCATAATAATTGCGAATTTATTAAGCAGAAAATAATAATTTTGTGAAGGTTTATTTTTGTGTTTATATTCGATATATTGCTTTTTAGTTTTAAAGTGGGTATTATATAGATATCGGTTTAAATTACATGATACACGTGTACATCAATCTATGTGGTGGCGAGACGTCCATTGTTTTACATTTCCCACAGTGAAAATAAGAGTGAGGATTCAATGTTTCCTGGGCGTCTAACGGTAGGTGGCTCTGTACAGTACGCTGGATCCAAATATTAACAGTGCGCAGCTGTGTGCACACCCGAGTTTAAAAACCATGACTCTACTTAATTAGCCGCGACATGAATGCTCTTACAGTACTCTCATATGAACATTATTTAATCGAGAAATATATTAATTGTTTTTTAAAGAAATATTTTAAAAAAAGTTCTTCTTAAATTGAATTGAGATGACAAATGAACTTACAGTCCACGTTCAAATAAGGAAGGTTACAAATGCGTTGTGACCTCTGACGACTAAGTTAGAATTCCTCACAACCTGTGATCATACTGGTTCTCTACCTACCCTCCACACCGGAACACATTTTATTTTAAAAAAAAAGTCCCGCTGGGTTTCTTGCTGGTTCATCCCAGGACAGAGGGTTTTTTTCGAACCAGTGGTAAAGTAAAAAATGACTTTCAATAAGAATTACACATGTAATGTATATTGAATAAAAAAATATTCTATTCTATTCCATTCACAGCAAGGCACGCACTGCTATTTGGCGGCAGAAATACTTAAATAAAAATATATATTCCTTCTATTTTTTTATAATAGTAACGTTAGTTGTGTAGTCAATTTCAAGCAATAGAAACACAACAGTGGGTGCACTGTTACTTTCAAATAATTAAGGGGCTCCTACCCGGAAACTTAGGATTCCTAGAATTTTAAGGCAGATAATAAGGCTTCCCGTCTATTAACAATTCAAAAAAATTTCACAAATATAGCCTGTGATATGAAAATATAAAAAAAAAATTACTAAAAATTGTAACTTGCGTCGGTAAGTGCTGACACGAAGATTCTGCGGCAAACTAAAGATAAGCTGATTGTTTTAGGGCTAAATTTCATGAGGTCATCTGTAAGATGCTTGACTGCATAATTGTATCAATTTACTATTGAATACCTTCCTTTATTGGAAGACTTCATTCAATGAGACAAGCTCAATCGAAAGACTATTCGTATTCATAGGTCTGATAGCCGATTAGTAAGTTTGGAGTATGTTTATTATTATTATGAGGTAAAGAAAAAGTACAGCACAGGCCTTCTCTCATTTCTGAGAAGGTTTTAGGGCAAGGAGTCTGTGTCCGGTGCGCTGCCCCAAGGCCTGTCGGGGACTTAACATGTCGATCAATTTTTATTATATCCTTCACGATGTTTTCCTTTACTGTCGAGCTCATAGAAATACAGCATTTAAAATTGCAATTAATAAATTTCAAAGGTGTCGACGGAGATGGAATCCGTATTGATCGCGTACAATGAAATTCACAGCGAATACTTAGCTCTTGAGCTACCACAGCTCTATCATTAATAGTTCTGTTGTGTTCCAAATAAGTTTCTTACGTGCTTAAACAACCTAGTTGTAAATATATATGGTTCATGAATCTATTTTCAAACGCGCGCAATGCATGGTTTAACTTTATTATTTAATTTTATTATATTATATTCAACGTAAAGCAGCAGTACCCTCGGTGCTGCATTACAGCGTGACTCAGTGGTGTGTGACACATCTATCATCTTCTTTGTTTGCAGATGTCCATAGACTACAATACCTAATTATGTAGTAAACTAATATAATTAATAGAATCAGGCGTTACTTTGCGGAAATCCATTATATAAAAGCTTTTAAAAAAATGACTTTGCAAACATCCGCGCTATAAAATAAAATGATGTGTCTTACCTAGTATGAACAGCACCTCCCGCCCTCCCTCAATTGCGTGCACTATCCCCGTCACCACTAATCCCAGAACTGCTGCTCCCAACATCACTACGCTACGGTGGCTGACCGTTAACGGTAACGTAGAGTCTACATCACCTGAGGATGCCTCGTGTAGGGGCGAAACAGGTGTCGTATTGTCGTCAGTGGTGTGTCTTGCCTAGTGTAGTGGTGTTGTGAGTAGCGGTGCTGAGATTAGTGGTGACGGGGATAGTGCACGCAATTGAGGGAGGGCGAGAGGTGCTCTTCATACTAGGTAAGACACATCATTTTATTTTATAGCGCGGATGTTTGCAAAGTAATTTTTTTAAAAGATTTTAGTAAACTAATGCCTTTTTTTATTTATCGAAATGAAATCTGCAGCCACCGCGCTATAGTGCAGTCAACCTTGCTTGGCATTGTAATATATAGTAAAACATTATGAAAACATTTCATTAGATTCAGTTAAATTACGGTGTTTTAAAAGTACATAATTTAGCAAGCACGAAGCGCATATACCAAAACATTCCGCTAGTTTATTTCTACAAGGAGTATTGAGGTAAATTGTGCTATTACTGGCACGGGCCAGTCGTTAGACGGCTCACGCTCGCCGGTACGATTAGATGTCTCGACGGCCGAATGTCGCATTGTCTCCGACATAGCCGACCTTAGATTAAACGTTATGCGAAAGATGTACCGCGGTCGTACACAGGCTAGTTTAGTGAGCGCATGTTTCGAAGAAACACTCGGCCTCTTTGGACCAATTTGTGAAATTTAATGCACGACATTGTGTCATATAACTATACTACAACGTTAAACGTTGCCCTTAACTGTTAACAACCAGCCTTACTGCTTGGCATAGTAAATTAAAAAGGTAATTTAAGAGAATTATATAACATTTATTAAAATGTCTACCGCAATGTCTTTTTTTTATAGGATAGGGCGCAAACGAGCATGCGGCTCACCTGATGGTAAGTGACTACCGCTGCCCATGAACAATTGCAACACCAGGGGAATTGCAGATGCGTTGCCAGCCTTTTAAAAAGGAGTAGGCTCTTTTCTTGAAGTTCCCTAAGTCGTATCGGTCCGGAAAAATCGCTGGTGGTAAGCGATTCCACAAGATAGTTGTCGAGGAAGAAAACATCTTCTAAATCGCAGAGTGGTGGACCGCCAATCATCGATGGTATTGCGAGTTTTGTCGCTATGTGCGATGGTGAAAATAGTAAATAATTCGAAAAATCCCTCAGAGCATTCTAGATTGAATATATTGGTACGTCCTGAAATACATATTTTAATATTATATGTACGTGTGAGAAACTAAGAAATATGTTCTAAAAGTTAGTGCTAAAGTTCGTGTTTTCTATCCCCACATGTGTCGAATATATACATATATAACAAATTGGTCGGATTCTTACACTCACCAATCTTCGCTTTGGCTTAATAAGCGGCCTGTTCTGTCCGTTCATCTTGTAGTAAAGGCCGCAGGCATTGCAGAGGTAGTGGCCGGTACCGTCGCGCCGCCACAGAGGAGTGCTCGTCGCCCCGCAGTTCACGCACTCCCGGCCCTCTGCACCATACAAACAACAATCAAATCCAGCTACAAAATTATTCTATAAACTACTTTCATGTTAAAATATGATTGGGATAAATAATTTAATGAAATTTGGAACTTATTAATTTGTCAGTGAATCTCTATGTTGAAAGTGATAAATGGGACCTTGTAAAACAAAAGGATAGTTTTAATATGAAATACTCAAGTACTTATGACTTTATGTAAATAACATTTTGACATGAAACTAATATAATGTTTTCTGGGTGATTTACCTGTCTCCTGGCAGGCTGGGGAAGACGAGAGAAAATCACATTCAGAAACATTACAAATTCAATTTCACTAACTAGTCTAACATGCGGCATAAACATAATTTCTAATAAATACACCATACCATATATTCCCCCAAAGCAATATAAATAATGGCAATTATAACGTAAATACACAATTAACAAGGGAAAGCGCACGAAGTTTCACTTGAAGAAAAAATATCAAGATTTTTTACACGCAAAGCAATATGGAGAGAAAGTAACTCAGAACGTTCTCGCTATTTACTCACATGCAAACATCCCTTCAATCATGCCTACTATAGTCAAAACTATATAATACATCATAGACAACTTTTATAAAAAAAATTATATTATCGATATTATGATTCGAAAAAAACCATAAGAAACTCTTGTCGATTATTTTGTTTTTTATCGCCGCCAATCATTCGCTACCGCTTCTATTATAAATAATAGAATATGCATTATTATTTTAATAGTGTGCAGCAACAAAAGCAGGTAGTTATAAAACAATGCTAGTTGCAAAAATGTTCGAGAGCGTAGAGCTGAGGAAACAGAGCAGAAACAGAGCCATAAAGCAAAGTATTGCCTACATGCTAATTCTCGCTATATGTAATTATATACCGATGTTGGTACGAACGTCTTATACAATTTTCAACGCAAGCCACAACATCTCATCCGTAAATAGTTTTACATTACTTTAAGAAACGAATAAAAAAAAAGCTCTATGAACCGGTTACGTTTTACGAATGCTAAAATTAAAAATATTTTAAGAATAATAATCAAAGAACTAAAATTGGTACTGATAGTATACACATGCTCTAATTCCTACTTCCATGAAATCATGCATAATATTGTAAAATTTAAATTGATCCCAAGACGAGCGGCCCTCCGGGAAACATTGCAGTTTTTTAAGTATCAACCCCTTTTTTGAAGAAAACAGCCATTTCACAAGACCGTTCACATTGTTACGGACAGGATGCATACGCGTATAGAACGCGCGAGCAACGCCCACAATCTCTCTCTAAACTCGATTATACGAGCGATGATTTACCGAGATCGAATTTAGAAGCCTCATCTCGTTACACCTTCGCATCCACGTTATATTACCAATTAAATAAAAACGTACTTCTTCGATAACTTATTAAACTTTATATCCTTTACAAAAAATTAAGAAATCTAGATGCCTGACATTTGCGAACAGCAAATTATTTCGCGACTATAACTACACGTATTTTGTATTCAATTTATTCAAGCTTAATTCATTTTAATACAACACAGCGAAAGAATGAGTATAATCAATCTGATTATGTACGTAATAAACTGCTTAAAGAAAATAAAATAAAATTTACCTGGCAAGGTTTAGTACTTAAAGTACATAAGTGCTGAGGATTTGTTAATTATGAAACAAGTTTATTGCCCTACCGATGATATCAGACGTGTGAGTATCGATAAGTACCTAATAATATTTAGCTAGATATGATTTACCAAGTCTCCAGGTAGATACTGCACTGAATAAATAATGTAAATCGCGCAGGATCTAACGAGGAAGGTGAAAGTGCACGAATAAAATTAAATGTTACAAAAAATATCTCAAACGAACACAAAATGTTGTTCGGGCTTCAGGCATTGGGGCCATTCATCTTTTTTTATGTAAAACCAGATCACAACCGGCAATTAAATCGCCCGGACTTTATCGAAAACTTATTGCGATCGAGCCGACGACTCACTTTTTGGACTAACCCTTTATTTTTTGTTCCGTCGATAAAGCCTGTAATTTGTTTCGAAGTTTCTAATAAATAAACACCAATAACGATTATTAAGAAAAATCATAGGATATTACAAGGTGCTCGGAGTTTTATGACGGTGTCTCTCGCTTTTAGAGTGATTTCGTTCAACTGTTACGTCTCTATTGAAAACGATTGTGAAAGTGGTGGCTCAAAGGCCCACCGGTGCTTTACAAGATTTACTGCCAGCCTCACACACGTTGTAATCACACGTATTATTAAAAAGAATATGCCTGATTAATTACCATGCAGTATAATTGTTCGATCTGGTCCATTCTCAATCGTAACGGTATTAATTCGGTAACACTGAGAATTATTACTTTATTTCCACTGACGTTTCGGCTATCGACAGATCTACCGCGTACGCCGCTTTAGATACCGGACGTGAGCTTGACGTGAAATAAAGATATGATTTAGTGTGCACATAACGGGGCCCGTCCAGCTAGAGATAAACCTATCCAGAGCAATTGCAGAAAGAATGAGGTTTGAGCGCAAAAATTCCAGTGTTTGTTCAAAATTAGAATGCGGCTCGCTCTTTATTGCCCGGAGTGACGTGCGGTCGTGACGCGGCGGCGCTACGTGACCGCGATAAAAGATTTTCATCTGCCGTATTTACGTAGCGGAGTGGGCGGTTTTTATTTTTCGAGAGTCTCCAGGCGAGCACACTCGAGCCGTCGAGAGCGCGCAAACTTTTCACACGCCCTTCTCGCGTGGGGAAAACAACTCGACGGTAAATCCACGCGACAGTTCCGCTGATTGTGCATACGCTGCCCTAGTCCACTCAGCACTCCTTGGAGCTATCGATGCGTTAAAAATAAATAAAAACTACTCTTTACTCAATGAAACAAAAACCCATAACATTCCATCGTAGTCACGTTAATGTGCAGCAGAGTATTGTAATTTAAATGGAGGACTAATTCGCTCCCGTGTACCGTGACGCGCTCTCTCAGCGCATCGGTCCATCAACACGTAACGGTGTGTCTATTTTGCATACAAACCATTAAATTATTGCTTAAAACTTATTCTTTGTTGCGCCGCAGAGGCTACTATTACGCCTTAATTATATGCCTGCATGCAAATAGAAAATTTAACGGAAGCCAAGTGTCTACAATCTGATTTGCCTTTTAGGCTGCTTAAGATGTTGTAGAGTATTAGTTTGGATTTAGAGCCACATTTGTAATTGACTTTATAGTAACATACCTATCACATCACATCAAGCTTGTATAGATTCATAGGTCATAGGACTTTCCAAGAATGCTCCAGCTGCGAACGCGGAGAGCTGCTACTCTCGCTCTGGTTTTGACCTATGACTTATATGTTAAACTAGCTATGGTTTTTACGCTGTCAGTAGACAATCGGTGTCGTTTGTCAAACACCAAGGTGCACCACACGTAGATGTGATAGGAATTTAAAAAAAGTGACGGCATATAACGACTTGCACCATAAATGATGATAACTGAAATAAAATCACCAGGGTAGCATAAAGGAATGAAGTCATTTTTCACACCGGCCGATGGAAACCACCGTGCCGGTCGAGTGCTCATATTTGCATTTGTTATTAGCATACATTCAGATAATTATGTATGGCAGGCGACGCACTGGTGCACGGTCGCACTGTACCACGTGTAATTAAACTCGCCGGTAATGGTGATGAAAACAGACTAAGGATGCATTTTCCAAGATGTAGGTATAAAGATTTGAAAAATTTCAATATTTATCATGCTGGAAAACAACGAAAATACTCATTTATTTAAAAAAGCCTCATGGATTTGCTAAAGGAAAACTCTTAATTATTTAAACGTTTTGTTCTTTGTACTTACTTATTTAAATTGTAAATATTTTATAGTGTGCACAACAAAGAATAAAAAATTAAATAAATGTTACATATACTAACTACAGTTACAGCCTATAAAGTAAGATTTTGCTATATTTGCTACACAGCTAGGTTGTCAGCTTTTATTCATTTAAGTCAGTATCACACACAAGACCTGGAAAATGCTGTTACACTTTTTAGCTTCCCTTTGTCGCCTCTTACGACACCTGTCGTGAAGCGACAATTAAAAAAAAAATAAAAAAAATAGAACCTAACCTAAGTGCAACAAAACAACAAAAGTAGAGCCAGGAAACAATATATTTAAATTTATAAAAGGTATTTACAATTTTATAAAAAAATGATGTGAGGATGATGATGAATGAAGTGATACAATTAGATTATAAAAAAAATAAAGGTGAGAGAATAGGGGAATATAGCGTTGAAGTGGGGCCTAAAAGTCGAAGCGACACACGTTGCGTTTGTAGAAGTAGGTTTCTTAGCAGCGACGGCACGCAGCGCCTGAAGCCAGCACACGCCGTTTGCGCTTGTAGAAGTAGGTTTCTTAGCAGCGACGGCGCGCAGCGCCTGGAGCCAGTACACGCAGCGTCCGGAGCCGGCGCACGTAGCGCCTGGAGAAGGGGCGCGCAACGCTTAGAGCCAGCAGTTGCAGCGCCCAAAGGTAGCGCCGGCGGTAGGTGCACTCGGCGCCTGGAGTAAGTAGTAGTAGTGCCCGGAGTAGTGTGGCCCCCGCGCTTGTAGTTGACTCGAAGCGACTTCCGAGGTAGATGGAGGCTTGTAGGATTCCGGAGTGGCGCGGCCCGAGTTTGAAGAAGGCTTCGCCGAAGACTTCACGTGTAAATGGAGGCTTGCAGGATCCCGGGGCAGTGCGGCCCCGGGATAAGGCCTTTAGGAGATACTTCCAATTCGCGAACTGAAGCGAGACTGCCTTTCTTCACCGATTGTTCGGCTTTTATACCTTTCTAGAGAGAACGGAAAAATTATTTAAATTATACGCAAATTTTTTGTAAATGGTCAAGAGAAAAGAGGATTTATGTGGAATTATCGAAATAGGAATAATAGATCGGTAGCAAATTTGAATATAATTACCATGGAAACGATTTAAATAAGAAA